TTGCTGAAATATATTCAGAAATTATTTGAAACATACGATAACTGAAATTCTGCAGCTAAAGTCACAGCTTGGTATTTGCGAGAGGATGTTAACATCAGTAATTAACTAAAATTTATTTAATTATGAATTTAACTTTCCTCCAAGTGGTCATGTGTATGAACATTTAAATGGCTATAGTTCTGTAGTCCAAAATTCCCTAATTTTTACAAAAAGCTGAAAAACTACAACAAGCGCAATTGAAAATGGATAAGCAAATTATTCGCTTCACGTTTCCAACGTCAAAGAGACTTCACTTCTTTACTATCTTATAGTAGCAACTATTCAACGAAGCAAATGAAATGAAAAAGGTAGCACTTCATTGGAAAAGGTGTCACTTTGCTGACAGCTTAACAGCTTTATAATTCCGACATCAGTTATCACTTAAATCACTAACCACTAGCATTATCAAAGCACTACCAACTACCAACACTATCAATTCCAAAGTGCTATTATGAATTAACACATATTTCCACATTTTATTCCATCGATTTTTAGTTCGATATCACAATAGCTGCTAGCATTTAAGGGCATAAAAATTGATTCTCATAATGAATGGAGTTGCAAATACTTCATGCTCCAATACTGATGCAGATGACGTCGATCCAGTGCCACTTTACTTTGCCCAGTAGTATATGTTGGGTACTGGGTACTGCCTTATGTCATTTTCTACACACAGAAGTTTCGAGAAATCGCCAACAAGAACATTTTATTGCTGGAAAGATTAGGGACTAGCGTTGTTCTAGCTGTGAGTCATTTCATGTTATATTTGGTGACTAAATAATTGTGCCGCTAGAAACTAGCAAGCCAGATCTGCTCTGCCCTGCACGTCGAAAAATACATGAAAGACTGTTTTAGACTTATTTTGTTCTTCCTCTACTTTTCCTTGAACTGTCAACTTCCTTATATTTTCTAGTGAAAGATTTATGAACAATTTACGCGGATTAAAAAACACCATCGATTAGAGTATCACCGTCCAGACAGAAGATAATTAAATCTAAAATAACAGCCGAGGAGAAAGTCATTCAATATAATTTTAAAGTTAAAAAAGTAGTAACAGAAATAATTCCACGGCGGATTTGTTGCCATCCCAGACCAAGTAGTAAGTTTAATGTTACAATCAAATGACACTCATTTGACATGTATTAACGGATGTGGTTATATTCAATGAAATGAATAGAATACAAAGGAATAGAAACAAAATTGCCAAGGGGAGCATAGACAAAATACAGGGCTGAGGAATTTACGAGAATCGTCATCTCATCCAATTCTATCCAATCACGTGATTGTATGCATGGGTAATCTTGGGACAGCTGCATGAGCATTAGCTGTGTATTTCCTCTCCGAAGTTCTCTTTCCACTAATCCTTAGCCATTGAAAGACAGATAAGGGATGTAGCCCAGTCTAAATTCATGCTACTATCCTATTACTTCGAACAAACAATAGAGAAACAGCACTGCCAATTGTCATTTTTTGCTGAAAGTCTACCACAAAAAAGATGGATACAGAGTTATATACAAAGTAGCTAAGTTAAAAGACCTCAAAAGTTCACATTGCATTGATCATTTTAATGAAAACACGTCAAATAAGAAGACTCTGCAATTACCCAAAGCATAAAATAGGTCTACCCAAGGCCATTTGGATCTCAATCACACCAGAAGTATATAAGAACACTCTGAAATGGCCTGATTATTTAAACCTTGGTAGTAAAAATTAACCAAGGAACATTTGTGACTACCGGACCCTAAAATTACATAGACTTGTTTACAGAGCGCGATCTTTTCCAGTCGCGAAAACTATATGTCCCTTTATTCAATAGAAATAGCCCTAATGTCAATCCACTTGTAAAAATGCGATGTCATGAACATATTTGAGACTATAAAGTGATTAAGTAAGAACACATGAAAAGTAGCAAATGCCATTTTTGTATGTGTTAATATTCACTGAAGATATGAAACTTAGTGAACCAATCGAGTTGTAAAAACTCGTTCGCTTCTCATAAAAGAATGTTAAAAACATAGAAATAAGGTAAATCTGAGAAACTAACACAGAAAACCAGAACTGCTCTTACCAGCGAAATGTTGATGAGCTTTGTTGGTCGCGAAGAAATTTTTTGAGGAATACTGACACTACACATTTCACTGGATTTTTCGGCGCAGATATCACAGGGAGATGCAGAGAATCCACCAAAAGGAATGGTTTTGCTAAGAAAATTAACCCAAACATGACAAGAAAACAGTGATATAGAACAAAACCATAAAGTATATTACAGAGGACAAAACAAAAGTGCAAAATATATGTCACCTGAAAATAAAAACATCACCGAGACTAACTGGCTGTTGCAAACTTACTCATTGCTACAGCAGCTGCAGACCCTAAAAGCCTGTTTCTCTTTTTTCCTGTCAAACTTTTGCAATGAAAATCAAACAGAAGGAAAGTGTGCCGCTACCGCGACAGGTAAGCGTGGCATCGTTTCAATTTGATCGACTACATCATTTTTCGACGGATTATATCAGTGTAGTAGCGTCAGATAATACCACACTGATATAACCAAGATGAGCTTTTAAAAAACGGATGTGTTATCTTCGAGTTTCTCCAGCATAATTTACTGATATCATTTAGCAAACCGAGAAAGGTTCCGGCTTTTCTCCTTATGTCTTTTTTTTTATATCTCATATGGCATTACGAGAAACAGTAAAAGAGCACAGTTAAAAGAGACTACCATCGTTACCATATTCAAAGCATGACATGCACTACAACTTTCAGCTGAGTATTTCAGCGTTTATACTCATCCATTCAAATGTTCCAGTAATTCGAGCACTACTTAGTCAGCTGAACGAACTCATTTATTTGGAAGAGAGAAGAGATTGCTATCAAACTGACTATTAAAAATAGTCAACACATTCACATTCTCACACGAACCAATAAGAAACGACCTTCAAAGGTCGAGTTTAAGTGAACAGTTCGACCAACAGAATGAATGACAAGCCAAAATGTCATCCAGATCTACTTCAAGACATAAAAAAGAAATTAAACAAGAAGACTGGAAATAGCTATTGTCCATCACAAAAAATACAAAAGATTTATGATATACAACGTCTCCTTGGGTAGATGGATAAACATTTTCGTGACATATAGATCGACGCTGAAATAATTTGGAAAAAATCCGTGCATGCCATCAGGTGTTCACGTGTTAGGTTCGCTTCATTTATAGGCTCCTCCTCCACTTCTAAACAATTTGGATAATCCAGATATAACAGATGACACGAGAAATATATCACTACAAATTTCAAATAATAATGTCACACCAATCAACTATAGATTGTTTGTCACAGAATAACGAAATTCATTTTACGTCTCGAAATTTATCACTGAAAAGCACCACTGTTACATAAGTTTTATAATAGAATGTGTTCCTCTACTTTTGACCCTTACTGTTTATTTTACGAATTCATTTTATTTTATTAGAATAAGATTTTACTGTCTTTTGTACTCCTCCCTTTCTAAAAACAAAATATCGGTATCCCAAAACTACTCCACTTCCGGTTCCGCTCGTCCTTTTTGCTTGTTGAAGCCAAAGCTCTCTATACCACTTGCCCATAACTTTAAAATAAATACCGCACGTTTGAAGAAGTTCATTATCTTAATATCTTAATAAATAGCAGTTAGGCTAAAGTGCAGTATGAATGCTGCTTCTGAACAACCCTCATCTTTTAGCAGTTGCTACATAATACGTTCAACAGAAATTTAAAGTTCTTCCTAGCATTTAAATTTTTCAAGCTGGATAAGGGATGAAAATTCTTTAAAGTCGAAATTTGCAGGAGAAATAATTTCTAGCATGATGATAACGATTTAACAGTACTCTGTAAATGAAAACTCTCAACCGAAGTTGAAGCTTCGAACAAAACTTTTATTCGCCATTAAGTTGCGTCTAAGCATAAATTCCTTCTTTTAGTTCTCACCTTACGTTCACATTTCCTAACAGAGTATTTCCAAAAATTTCATATGAGTGGGACAGAAAATTTTCTAATGATGGACAAAGTTAAATTCGAATATGTTTACGACAAGTTTACAGAAATTTTAAGCATATTTGGCTGAATTAAAATATAAGCATAATATCTGTGCTTCAAAGTTCTAAAGTTCAATTCAATTTGAACCTAAATTTCTAGCGAATACCTTTGAACTCTTAGGATACTCAACAGCCTTAATGTATACCCAAGTGCGAAAGCACCGTTATCAGTTTCAATATGTAACTACCACTTTCATGAAAACCGTTGTCATTTGAATGAGGCAACAAAACATGTTTTATTGGTTTGGTCTCCTCTACTTTGGAGTATAGTCACTCCCTTTGCTTAATGTGTTTCTAAGTCCAAAAATTGGATTTACACGTCTTCAAAATAGTTTTACGGAAGAGAAAAACAATGAAAGCTAAAACGATACTAAAACACCAACGACAAATGCCAAGGGTTGAAATCTTCCACGATAGCTTAATAGAGAACATATTTTGTAGAATGTACATATATAGTTCACAAAAGATAGGAATACGGAATGCTGGAAGAAGCTTAAATCAAAGATAATTTGTTATCAATTATTTGAAATATAAATTTTATAAACCATTTATAAATGACGAGAAAATGACGATGCTTCTACAAAGGTTGTTATCAGCGCAGCTAAGCAACCAATCGTTCAAGACCTCACTTTCCTTATCAACTCTTTTTCCCGTCCATAAGCGCCAAACAATTCATACATAAGTATTTATATACTAAGTGTGTGCGCACACCTTACATATATACAAACATATACATATATATCTAACCATCCAAACAGAAATGGAAAAGGAACCTAACATGAACAGCTGACTATAAAATAAAAGATGTCGTCCGCAATATACCTGCTTGTTAGTTATCAGCGACTAGTCAAGAAATATTCGCGAGTTGAAGTAATTATATTAGTAATTCCAGTAATTATATTAAGTTAAAATTGGATGATATCCTAGCATTGCCTGTCGTAAGGTCAACAGTGTGAAAGTGAGGTAGCAAACCCTTCGTTTGCTCTGCAAAAACAAGCAGTTTTTTATCAGCCAAAGCCAGCATGGCCGCAGATATATCTTTTGAAAACGGCTCATCAAACCAACCCACATTCTCCGCTGTTTGATCTGCTATTTTGATTTCAGTGTTATCTTGGCATAGTCTCCCAGTAAAACATAAAGTTTTTAAGGATTTGTTACCAATGCTACCACAGAAACCAAATAATCTGTAAAATAAGAAATGCCAATTACAATATGATATCCAATTAACGAAAGTGGTATTGGAATGAATCAGTGGCCAACCGGAAAGGAAAGAGAAAAAAGATGTTAATAAAATAATGAAGATGAGTTATATGGTTGATAGTATAGCACTTGCTTGGATTATATTCCTGTTTTACGGATCAACTAAAATGGAGAACCATTGGATGTTTTCATGAAGAGGTCAATAAAAAAAGTGAACATACCGACGTATGGACAACATTGACCCCTGAGAGGTATGAGATGGTAATTTAAGAACTTTGTTGCTGATGAATGGATGAGCAGATAATGTGACAGCTTTACAGAGCAGCCTTTCAGGATAGGAAGGGGGAAGAGGGACTTACTCTTTTTAAGAAATCAAAAACCGGATTGAAAAGTACAGCTAAAATATGAAAATAGCCAAGAAGCAGAGGTGATCGATCTCTTCACCTGGAAAACCAATGCTTATTCCTATTACCACATCCATCTACTTCACCACCATCATTCTTATCATCATTATCATCATCATTATTATCGTTATCAGTACCTTCCCAACCTTCTCCCACCCCATCTTCTCTTCACCTCCTTTCACCACATGATAATACCTTATCCCTATCCCACTGCTTATCGTCTGCCCCTCAACTGATCTAATATTAGAAGTGAAAGGATAGGGGGGGTTCAATGCAACTACTACTGCTGCTGTTGTAGAAAATTGCTGTCGCATGTTTGAGCAGTTGTCTATCTGTCAGCAATATCAAGGGACCACCACAATGGCTGCTCCGTTGTCCTACCCTACTCTTCCCTCTCCTACCCTACCCTGCGGTATTACTCTACTCTATTTCCCTCCCTTCCGTTGCTATCGCCGTTACACATGAAAATCATTAGGACGAGAATGAAAATTTAGCACTGGAGAATATGTATGTGTGTATACGCTATTCTCCCCTCCCGCCACATTCACTGGGATGTGAAAGGAACTACTTATGATGAAAAATGAAATGATTTGCAGAGCTGTCTAACAGATAGCAGATAGCTGGCAATGATATCGTGAAGGAGAATGCAGAGTGGTGGTGCTACTGCTGCTGTGTGGACGGACGGACGGAAACAGGAGAGTGGGGGGCCGGTTCCACGGACGACTCTCCCTCCGGTGAAGTAAGCCGGTTTGGAAGGTGCTATGAAGTCGAGCTTATTGTTGGCTCACAGCCCACCGCCACTATGTGTAAATGCTGGAGAAGACGTAGCTGGTTGAGGCCGGCCACCTCCTCCAACGAACTCGTTCCTTTCCTTCGGCCGATGTAGAGAATGTTCCACGCAAACTGACTGGAAGAAGACGCATATGTTAAACACTTCCACCCTGTGTCTCTTCACGTTAGCTTACTCAGCAGTGATGTACTTTAGTTAGCAAAAGAATGCATTGGATGTCGTACGGTTTTCACAACTGATTCCGGATGTTCTATGTACGATCATAGCTGCAGTAGTTCTATTATTCCCGAGAGAAAAATACAGGAGTTGGAAGGTGATTGAAATGTGCGGCTTGAGCACATGCAAACACTGGGCATACCTGTAACTCATTACTGCATCAGTTTGTGCATGATGTCTATATTTGTCGACTGAATTGCTAATTATAAATCAAAAAAGACTTGACCAACGATATCCGTTTTTCATTTCAAGTATTTCCATTAGTATGACAGGAGTTAAGTATACAGACTGCGATGCATTCAAAAATTCATTTAAAAAACATAGATCACTGGTTGAAATTCCTACGAGCAGAACTAAAAAGAAAGTTATGTATGTTCATGTAAAGAAGGGCTATGTATGGGTAATGAGTAGAATTCAAGCTTATCAAATATAATCAAACTAATTGGTGTGCTCTCTATTTCTTCCATTTTAAAACAAGTTGATGATGAGATATAATGAGATGACCAAGTGAATAGATGCAATTTGCCATTAGTCTAGAAACTTTATAGTAGATCAATGATCAGATGGCGGAAAAACTGCATTTGTTATTCCTCGTTTGCTTCTTACTTTTCCATATTTGTAGCGTGAAAGTAATTTGGATTTCCCCTTTTTCAAATGGTAGTTTAATTGTGGTTCAGTAGTACAAAAATGTTAAGATCATTAGATTTTATCATATCGTACTAATGAAAACGAGATATAAAACTCAGTGAACAGTTACTAATGTCATGTTCTTATATCATCATCCGGAAAAAGCACTTCCTGTTTAATCATTTTCTCAAAAATGAACATATGATTAGCAGGAAGCTTAATGCATAACGCAAGAATTCCCAGATTTTATCAAAATGTAATGAAATGATGTAAGTAGAAAATTAATTTATTTCCAAAGAACTGTAGGAATGCTTCATTCAAAAAGTTGATCTTCTTGTTATTCTCTATGATGTAATTTTTATCATAACTCAGATAATATCAAAGTCATCACAAATGCTGCATTATAGTTCTGTTCTACTATCATTAGCACGTGGAAAAGGCATTATACTTTACTGCTCAACGTCCAAAGTTTCATATCTTGTCCTGCAAGCTTTGTCATAATGATTTAATCTATAGTTGATGCTAGATAAGTCTCGTAATTCCAATAAAAGTTTCGCCAGATTTCATTATCTTATCTCCTGACAGATTATTGTTTACCAATATCATTTCAGCTATGAAAATAGGTTCTGAAAATACTGTTATTATGAAGATTAAAAAGTTGAAGTCCAATATTAAATAATGTCGTACAGTTTTATTCATTAATTCATTAATTAATTTGTTTTTAATAAATAAGCAGATGAAAAGATAGGAATTAGAATTAAAGTAGTCTATTTATATGCCAATGAGACAACAATCTTAGAAAATTAAATGGAGTTGAAATAATTGTCACTTGTATACTAGTATTTGACCTGAAGCAGTGAATTATGGAGACTAACGGTAAGAAAAAAAAAAAAAAAAAATCAACTTTCTTCACTGGAACTTTGCACTTATGCTTGAAAGTTGCATATTTATAAGAAGATCACGTGATCGATGAGAGGTAGTTAAGATTTATAATTGCTTTATGAGGAAAAGTATACGTTTATAAAGCAACGTACGCTCTTCACATATCGAGAGTTCAATTCAATATTATGCTTATCAAGCAAATGGGATTAGAATACTCGCATTTGAAATTGTTGCTCTCAGTGAGAGAATATTTCCTGACCAATTTATTTAGCTATAGCAGTCGTCAAAATGTTTTTTCTTAATTTTAATACTTCTCTTTCCAGGAATAAAAACTAAGGTTATTAAATGAATTGTGAAATTTGCAAAGATCTAAAAAATACCCGAAAAATCTAAAACCAAAAAGAGGTAGCTGTTTTATAAACGATTATTGTTCAGAAACAAAAATGAGCTATAATAAAATAAATTTTTCGAAGTCGAGAGCTAATTTTTATACACTTGAAAGTGATTACCCTAACGATTAGAGCTTTTTTTTAAACCATCAGCTTGTCAAACACCTCCTTACTACTTTCTAATTTTTCAAACGGTAAGGTGGAGAAAGAGAATTATTACACATTATGTACTAATGAGAAGTGAGCAAAAGTCTGGCGATGAAGTCAGTGGATTTCACACAATGGTAGCAGTTATGTTTAGCATTTGGAAATCAAATGTCCAATTTCTGAACTTTCTTCTCCTCTTCTTTATTATTTCATATTCTTCACAAAATAGTGCGTAAAAAATTTGCCTAACAATGAGCAAATGAAATGATTTAAATATAGAAAGAACTTATCAGAAATCATAGAAATCATTAGTGGAAGAATCACCTTCTATTCTTACAGGTCTTTTTTAAACGCCAAATTCCTTTCTTAAATATTAGTTCAAGACTTCAGTGTAACTGGCACATACATAATACTTAAAAATAAAGCTCTTAAATCTCAATACCACAAGTGCAATCTTGAATGAAAACATATACGTTCAATGTTTCATAAAGAAAACGAAATCACGAGAAAGTCATGAAATACAGAAAATTAGGAACTCGTCACAATTCGATTCTAAAGCGTTTAGATATCGCGTATCCAGATAGATGATAGTTATTAGTGAATTGGAGTACCATAATTACTTCCGTGTACTAATATCATGAATATTTTCAAATTGTCAACAAAATGTGAGTCATCCCATTATGTAGCAAAGTAAATGAACAGACTTAATACATAGCAAAATAGGAACCAAAGATTTCTTCACTCTTATAACTTCAGTTCTGTTTGCAATGCACTTCTTTTTTCAGAAATCAATTTTTATTTTATTTTAATTTTTTCTTGTCTAAAAAGTTTTATTTCACTATTTGCATGAGATGATCCGCTATAACTGTCATTCTAGAGTGCATGACGATAATACTAATTTTTTTTCGTCATTCTTCTGAAATATCAGAACATCTGAATTACAAAATTATCTTCCACTCTCTTCTAAGTTGATTCTGAATCGATTTCAAAATCATATAACTGTTAGTTCCCGTTTCTATAATCAAAAATTCATAATTCAAAGTGGTGTTATTGAATTTTAACTGAAGTGAAAGAGTCGTGTAACAAATGTGGTAAGTTGAAGTTTGCTTAATAAGACAAGAAGTAAGCAGAAGTAAGTAGATACATATCATAGTTCCAGAACTACAAATTCAATTTCGACACATGACAACTGTGTCAGTGATCTGCAACAAACATAAAGCTGTTAGCTAACAAAAATGGAACAGCTGACACGAAACGAAATTGAAATTTATACATGTTTGTAAAGAAATATGGCTGAAGGAAAAAGGGAAACCAAATTTAAAGAGTCCACCATATTCCTTATTTCTCAAAATAGAAATTGAAGAAACTCAGAGGATCATTCATAAAAGCACTGAGTTGAGCTTCTGTACAGCTAATTACCAATTGCAGAATTGCTACAAATTCGAAACAGATGGAAGAAAGTCTGCAACTCATTGTTTCGATATTGCAAATTCATTACTAGGTTCAAATGACACCTATTCCTGATTAGAATATTACGAATATTAGATTCTTAATCAACAGAATCTCAAATCTAATTCAGACGAATCCTGAATTTGCTTCCTTTTGTTCCTAATTTCCTAGTTAAAAATTTTTTTTATTTTCATTAAAAAAAAAATAATTTTCAGTTAAAAATAAAAATTTTCATTGTTAATAACTACACTTTAGCATTAATAGTTTAGCGAGCTTTAAGTTCAAGAAGTTTAAAGCAATTCTGTGTATATTTCTAAATGCTATTTCAGTTAAC